GAAGGCTTCAGGTTTTGTGGAATGCTGGAAGATACGGGCTACTTACTTGTTGTAGTCAGACAGTGATTCCCACCACATCAGCAGTTGTTTCAATACTGCCTTTTTCCTCTTTTAATGTGTGTAATTGTGCAATGATTTCCTTCTGGTGAAAGATTTTTATTTTTCTGAAATGGTTAGTTTTGATAGGAGCATTGCATTTTTAGGAAGGATTTTGGACAGAACACTGTGGTTTGGGAAACAAGCAGTTAAGTGTATAATACTGCCTTTAAGACTGAAGGTATCATTAGATTAGATCACACTGAATGGTATTAAAAATTAGCCATTAATTATGATTGCTGAGAATAAATGTCAGTCTTAATTTAATGTGTGCCCTTGCATTGATCATAACGTCATGTGGATAATGCATCACTGTATGGTCATGATCTCACATTGAACTTGGTGACAAACAGTAACTTTTTAAGTTTCTGCGAAATACTTCTTGATAAGCAGGATGATTTCAGGATTAATATATTTTAGTATGTACCCTTTTACATGTCATCGTAATGCTTGTCTCGGTAGTACACAGCTTTGGAGCTGTGCTCTCGACTTGTGTATCTTTAGAATGATTTAAGGTTGCCTGAGCATAATTCTGTTTGCTTACAGTAAGCATCAACTAATTTTAGAGTGGAATGCTATGTACTCATTACTCTTTTCGTGTTAGCTCCCACATACAAGGAGGTTGGGACTAGATGATCTGTAAGGTCTGTTCCAACCCCTAAAATTCTGTGATTCTATGATAGGTTGACCACTGCAATGAGGATGTCATTACACAGTATTACAGTTTGAATCATGAAGTCACCTTTCAAAGTACCTTAGAAAGATGAAAAGTAGCAACAAGATTAATATAAACTTGACAAATATGTGCGGATTATGAAGACATGGGTTGTTTTAGCAGCTTGCAGCATATATTTTCTAAAATGTGTAACATTTTTGGTTGTTTTCATTGTGTTCTGCTAAAATTTTTTTTCTGCCAGAGGCTTTTATAATGTCAAATTATGAATTGGTTTGTAGTTGCTTTCTATTTGCATTTTGTATATTTTTTTGCATGATTACCATTGTGAAAATCCACTTTTTTAGCACTGCTTTGGAATTAGGTGTGTTCCATATCCTATTAATGTTAAGTACCTTTTCTTTAATTTTTTATTTTAGTATGAGCAACCAGACTGTAAAGAAGATGGAGATCCCCGAAGCATTCAGGCACAATTAAAGAGAGAAGAACCAGATTTTTGGGATGACTTTAGTGATGATGATAGTCTGGAAACTTCTGTGAAAAAATATGACAGAAGGAAGCCTTGCAATGCAAGTAATTTAATGAAGGGACAGCTTTCATTATTGCAATATGGATTCTCTAAGTTACTGCAGAGAGAAATTGAAACTACCAGCGAAGGGGATGATAACTATAACTCCCATCACTCAAGTTCTGATGATGAGACTGTAAGAACAAATGTAAATAGCAAGCACAGTGATTTTCAGAAATGTCAAAGCCTTGTGCCTGTTTTGGAGCATGGAAAAGCTCTTCTGTCACCAGATAGAACTGATAAACAAGATAAGTCCAGTACAGGCTGGCTTGTTTTGTCAGATTCCGAGGAAGAAGGCAACAGAGAAAGTGAGGATCAAGGCATTTCAAAGCCATGTGATATAGTAATGGAAACTGAAAGTAGTTCTGAAGAGGATGATGTAATCTTTCCTATCCAGGCTCGAACATGCCAGCAACCAGTGCTTACTAAAAAAGTTGAAATACAAAGGTCAACATCTGAAAACTGCAAACGGTTAGCAAAAAGAAAAGATGGGTTTGTATGCAACGGAGACAGTAGACAAATTGAATTGCACAGTGCTGAGTCAAATTTCAGCAGTGTCATGTCTCATGAAGACATGAAGAATAGCAGAGACTTGGAAGGAGAAAGTGACATAAGTGATGAATCTGATGATATTGAAGTTTCCCATAGTTCTGAATCAAGAAAACTAGGAACTTTTAGCTCTCCAAAACTGAAGGAAAGATGTACCCTTAATAATGAACTAAATAATGTCTCCAAACAAGAAAAGAAGCCAAATAGAAAAGAAAAGGAAGGTGATTCTCAGAACATAGATGAATTTTCATCCTCTGAAGATAGCCCTCCAGTTGAGAAAATTCATGCCAGAAAGCAAAGCTGTAAGTGTAAAAAACTGAGAGGCAGAGGTCGATTTGGGTCTAAAATGCTGCATCTTATTCAAGATACCTCTGTTGCACAAATGAAGGCTAGCAATTATGCTGTGCATAGAACTTCTTCAAGTAAACCTGAATTTGACCACCAAGACCAAAAAATTGAATCAATGGACAGATATTTAGGTAACTAGTAATTCAATTTCTCTTGATTTTAGTTCAACTAAAATAATAGCATGTTTGATTGACCACTGTCAGCAGGTTTTAAGTTCTTCTTGTTTTGGTTGCAAGATACTAATAAATGCCCTGCTAAATTATTTAGTAATATCTTCCTATATCTCTCTTTTTATCTAATTAGTCTTACTTTGCTGTATTCTGGGTTGACAGGCTGCTTTGTGATATTATGTTTAACACTTGCTGTCTCTTGAAAGATGCTAAGATTGAGGATGGATTCACAAACTAAGTATTTGAACTGTATAACCTTAAAAGTCCTGACAGGGCTGTTAAATAAAAACTTAGGTACGTGAAAAGAAAACTATGTGATCTGGGAGTTTGAAGTGCCATGCAGAAGATTTGATTCTGTTGAAGACTGAATTTTGAGCATTAATATTGCAGCTATTAAATCAGAGATGCTTTGAAGCTTCTCTATCCATCAGAAAAAAAAAAACCAAAACACTGAAAAAGGAAGTGTTATTAAATCCAAATAAGTCTAATGGTTGTTGTTAATGTAACAGAGCTGAGAAACTTGGTGCTGAGTGAAATCCTAACAAATTTTACTACTTTCACATAAAACACTTGTTTTTAGTTACAATATCCTTCAGTGCAACTACTTATGTTCAGAGTTTTGGAATAACCAACATCTTTGATTATATCTTTCTCCTAATATATCAGATGGTGTTCAAGAAGTGGCTTATATTCATTCAAATCAGAATGTGGTCGGATCCAGCAAGGCTGAGAATCACTTGAGCCGGTGGGCAGTGCGAGATGTATTTGAGTTGAAGCAGTTTTCCCAGCTCCCTGCTAATGTAGCTGTCTGTAGTGCCAAGGTAAAGAAAAATGTTTGGGAAATGTTGTTTTAACTTTTATTTTATCCTCATTTTTCATCTTAAACAGCTCTAAAAAAATTGATTTTCTGTAAATGGCCACCATGAATGATCAAAGACACTGAGGATGGGAGGAGAAGGCAGCTCAACTGGAGGTCTAATAAACGACTTTTGTTTTTTTGTGGTGGCTTTTACATTGGCCAGCTTTGAAAAAGTTAGGAATTCAGCAGCACGGCATACTCTGTGGAATTTTTCTGTAAGAGAAATGGTAAGATTAAAGATGGGGTGTTTGAAATCAAGTTTTGTGCCATGTTTTTCTGATCTGAGCCTTGAAAAACAGTTGAGTTTCTCCTAGATTCAGTTAACAAAAATCCAGTTGCCACAGTACATTCTGGAATCTCTGTGGCATATAGAGTCAAATCAGTTGGCAGACTTTTTTGGGGGGAGGTGAACACATGCAGTTGCTATAATGAATCAAATTGCCTATGTTTAATGTCTGAAACCTACAACTAGACTTTACTGGGAGTGCTTATTTGCAGCAACAGATAAGTTTTATGCTTTTTGTTGGTCATACATCTTGTTTAATTACATTTGGAATACATACAAATCTGGAATAAATTCAGGTACAGCTTCCGGATTTTTGTACTTAGTACATAGTGTTTTTAATCTGCACTGATTATCTGGATACTTTGTTGTTTGCCTTGTAATAAACATTTGCAGTTTCTTAGATTGATTCTAATGATAAACCACAAGCATTGAGTAAGTAATTGGTGAATGTGTGGCTTAGTCTTTCCAGCCATGTTAGCAATCATTATAGAAATTGTAGACATATGACTATGTTGTTCTGGGATGTTGAACATCCACAGTGGCTAGAAGAGTTTCTTCCAGTGTTGTTGTTGCACTGTTTTTAATTAAGCCATTAGCAGAGTTGTCAAAGAAGTTTTACACTGGGAAGATCAAACCAGGTGAACCAGTAAAAGTGAGGCCTTTTCAATTCTAACACATTTGCATTACAATGCCCCTCATTAACAGAAAAGTTGGTCGAAAATTCTCAAGAGTACTGTAGAAAGGTACGTGTTAGTTGGCAATGGCTGACATTATTAAAGCCAAATATAAATGAAAGAAAACTTTGAAGAGAGTACTTTGACTAAATGTCTGCAGATCCACCTATGTTCAAGGCTGGTTTGTGTTGTTCACATAATTTACAGTTTATTATTTAGAGTTGTGTGACTGCAAATATTACAAATTAAATTCTTGATTAACTTGTCAGTCAGCTTTTCTAAAGTATGCATCTTTCACTCAGAAGCAACAGTAGTATCTCTTCTCTTGGAAATCTAAGTAGGAAGACACCTATCAGCGTTATGGGGAAGGTTGCCTCTTCCTTCACTTCCTATTAATTCTTTTACTTAGAGGCACTAATCTAGAAATAATGCCTAGATTGCTGCCAGTTCTTAAATGTGACGCTTTGAATTGTTTGTGCTATGCTTAAAAGAAGTGGTGCCAGAGCTCCACAGACAACTTTAAAATATGATATACTTAGGAAAACACTAGCAGTAAGATTCTTTCTTCATTACTTTCTTTTACCTTAGAAGGCATTTTGTGAAAAACAGTCATTGTTGCTCTTTTGGCCATCAATCTTTGCTGGTCATTTTTCACTCATTTGGCTTTAAAAAGGCTTAAGGGAACAAAAACCTTGGTTATTTTTGTGAGAAATAGGTTTCGTTACGATTTCTTCTTGCTTGTTTGCTTTGTTCTCTGAGTTCCATAGCAGTCCTGGATTCAATACTGCAGAGCCTTTGACTCTTCATTTCCCAGTGGTAATAGGGAGTGCAGTTATACTGTCTATTTATGTTGGTTTTACAACAAATTGTGTCAACTGACTAGTTTAGCTAGAGTGTTCACATTTGTAGTACTGAGTGCTTTTTTTAATGTGTGTTTCTGTAAGTACTGTATGACTATGGCGAATACAGTTGGGCAACAGCAATCAGAATGTAGTCTGCCATCAGGAAATAAATAGGACATCATGAGAGTTCTCTTACAACTTAGCAGCTGTAAAAGTGAAATAAAATCCAAAAGTAGTAAATGTAGCAGTATAAAGTATGTATTAATTGTACAAGCAAGAGAATAAACCATATTTTGATTGAATATCATCAGTCAAAATAAATCCTGTCCAGCATCTGAATTAAAGAGAGATATTTTGTTGATGGTAACAGTAGAAACAAACAAATCTAAAAAGTTTTTTTATATCACAGGATCCTGATAAAAGGAAAACATATTGTGATTTAGAGAGTATATTCCTTTTATGACAGAAGTCCATGGGATTACCTAAAAGTAGAAGATGATGCTCTAGCTGTTAGGTGAGTTGGAGTAGAGTACTCATTAAAGAAAGACAGTGTTATCTTGTTAATAGAGTGGGCTGTCATAAATAGTCATCTACAGCAGTGGAGATCTGCTTATAGTTTATTTTGCAAGTATAATCAGCGGGGTACTTAAAAGACTAAGACTAACTTCTTTTTTTGGTAGACACGGCATGATATCATTTAAATGCAGAATGTCTGGAATTAGCGTGAAATATTTTAATGCCAGCAGTTCCTGAATTGTACATGTCCTTTTTCTGAGCATTGTCTGTATTTTGAGCATTGACCACAACCATCACGGTTGGATTGCTGTAGATTTTAAGAATAAAATATGTAATAATGATATAATATGACCTTTAAAGGTCTCATAGACCAAACTCCTTGCAATGAACAGGGGTATCTTCAACTAGATCAGATTGCTCAGAGCCTCATCCAACCTGAGCTTGAATGTTTCCAGAGATGAGACATCCACCACCTCTCTGGACAGTCTGCTCCAGTCTTTCATAGTCCTCACTGTAAGAAACTTTCTTCCTTATGTCTGATCTAAATCAACAACAGGCCCTGCTAAAAAGCCTGTCTCAATCTTTCTTACAGACCCCCTCTTAAGTACCGAAAGGTCATAATGAGCTCTCCATGGAGTCTTCTCTGGGTAAAATATTAGCCTAACTCTCTCAGCCTTTTCTTATAGGAGAAGTGTTCCATCCAGTCACTTTTGTGGCCACCTTCTGGACGAAGAGCACAGTAGAGACACAGAATCACCTCCCTTGGCCTGTGATCACACTTGATGCAGCCCAGAACAGTATAATGGTCTTCCCTCAGAGAGCTAATGTTTCTGGTAGTGCTGCTTATATGGAAGGCATGATGTGGCAGTGATACGAGGTGTTTAGAGCCTCAGTAATCAAAACAAAGCCAGCTATTTTTGTTCCGTGCGGACGTGTGGCAGACAGCTGTCTCAGAAGAAATTTTTGAGATATGGGTTACACTGTGTAATAGGTTAATAATGCATCTTATCTTTTATAGTTCTAAAAATTTATTGCACATCCCAGAACCTGAATGTCTCAGAAAGTAGTCTGGTGTGTCTCTATGCAATCCAAGGGCTCATGCTACTTGCAATCTTTCATAGCAAGTAATAGATGTAGAAGCATGAATTGCAGTCAGATTTGTGGTGCCGTGATGCAGGGAGAATCAGACCAGGTTTCTGTATTGTAAGCACCATGAGGGTAGAGAATGCACATCATTTAGTGTGGCATATGGCTGCTCCAGTAAAAATTATTGAGACCTGTTCTTGGTTGCTTCCTTATGTATATGGCAACAAAATATACTCAATGTGCTGTTTCACAGGGGAATATTCATAAAAAAGAGTTTCTGGTCTTTTATGTAGAAGTATAAGGGAAGAAGATGATACCGAAAGTTAATCTGCTGGAATAAATAACTTGGGTTTTCCTGCATTATTTTGTTGGGTTTGGACTGATTTGATGACATTCAGCAATCTGTGTTCTGCTCTTTAGTTTAAATTCAACTCTTGTGCGAATAGACTTGATTAAATATTCATTGTGTTTTCATTAAACAAATAGAAGATTACTGTCTCTGTTACTGCATCACTGTCTGTTAAGAAGATTCATGAAAACCAAAAAGAGCTCTTGTGCAACCACAGAAAGAAGTATATGGAAAACAAAAGCTTCTAAAAGCAAACATGTGAAATGAACTTGTAGACTGGACATGATAGACTTAAAAAGTCAGACTGTAATTTTCAGACCAGAGCTACAGTTATTTCAGACTTTCAGAAAAAATCTCTTGAGTAATTCATGTGATATTTTGCACAAAATTATTCAGACATTATTAATTTGGGGCAAAAAAAATAAATGGAAGTGTTAACAACTTCTCTAAGGCCTTAGTCTATATAGTGGGTTTAGTATTTTAGTATTTTTAGTGGTTTTGATTTTTGGGGTTTTTTTTTTCTGGTGGGCTTCAGGTTCCAAAGCAACCTGGCTGATTTTTAGTGCAGAAGCTTTTTATTTAATCAGGTTTTTTGATGGCTTGCACTGTTATTTGTGAAGCTTTTTCAGAGCTACCATAAGAAAGAAAAACCTCCCAGAGGCAAGATTAAATATCTTCTTCTAATGTTTCTAGTCTATTCTGAATTAAATGACTGCATTCCTTAATGAATTTCCTAATTAATTTCTGTGTTAATTGGCAAAAACAGCCTATGTGAAATGTTTCATACCAGTACGGAAGTCTGGAATAGTCTTTCTCTAGGTCCTGTAAAGCTGAATTTATGTAGTATTTCTTCAATAGGAATCCAGGGTGGCGGGGAGGGGGTGTGTGAGCATGGGGAAGTCTTTGGAGACGACTTGGAGGTTACACAAAAAAAGAAACTGGGAACAGGACATACTAAATGATTTAAAAAACTGATGATGTCCCACATTAGAGCTAATTTGCACTTTTTAATATGTGGAAAAGTATTAGTCACAAGAACTTGTACTGTACCTGTTGAATATGTGGAGTCTCTTTTTTCAGTCAACTGCATGTTTTCAACTGAAGTTTACTTAAAGTTTTACTGAAAAGAAATGTACAAAGACAGCCATTCAATTGAGGATTAATCACTATGGCAACAGAAATGTGGTGACTGAAAAGGGGGAGGATGTATTCTCCCCTCAG